ATTCACTTGAAAATTTGGTAATATTAGTTTTCATTTTCTGTTCCCATATCATCCAGAAGGTCTTACTGCTCCCACTCTGTCCCTAAATCTTAAAGAACATCCCTCACACAGCACCAAATGCCCTCTTCTGTTGCAAAGTCAATGCTTCCCATGGTACTCACTGGAGTCACTGATCTACAGTTCCTCTGAAGACTAACCAGTGACCTCTCTCTGTCCTTTTATATGATGCTCCCCTGCTTTCTGGACTAGCTGTTTTTGATCCTTCTTTTACCCTTCCCCACAACACCATCTTATCTTCTCATCTGCCTGATTTTAGACTTTCTTCAGATTCTAGGCTTAGCTCACCTCTTCCTTTCTTCTGCTCAAGTGTTTGATTCCGAGAGATTCCAGTAACTCTTAAAGATATCCAACATCTTCAACTTACCTCTGGCTCAGCATCTCATCTTAGACATAAATAACTTTATCTTACATTTTTATGCTTCATTGAATCTTAATGATTAATATATCCCAAACTCAATGCCTTATTCTTTCCTTTATGCTGTTTTTTATTGCCCTCTTTTCTCAGATGTTCCACACCAATTAATAGCATTTCTCTACCTCCAAAGATATCTAACCTTCAAATTGGGATCATTCTTATTTTCTTCTCCTTTCTACAACTACTATTTCTATTCTTACTTAATTTCTTGCAGAATATAGTAAATACCACTAAATGAGGTCCCTCAGTTATATCTTGATAACTGAACCTTTATTCAAACCCAAATCTTCTCTCCTGCTGAATACTCTATTTTTCTTGGTTATGTTTGCATTATACATTATCAGAATCATAATTCTTGGAACAGGGTTTTTGCCCCCCTAGAATATATGGTCCAAGACTTCTGAAATTAAATGGAAATAGCTCCACTATATTTTACAATGTAAATTTTATTACTCCTCTTTCTTGGCTTTTGTTTTTATTCCTCTTCTTCCTTCTCTCTCCTCTTCTTTTTCCTACTTTTCTTCATCTTCTCATTTCTTCTGTAGGCCAGAATGAACTTGATTTTACCAACTGTCTCAGAATAGCCTTGAACTCAAGATCTTCCTGTCTTATCCTCTCAGGTTCTGAGATTACAAGCGTGCAGTTTTTATTTTATAGCTTATTCTACAGTTTGGATATGAGATGTACCTGAGACACGTTTGTATTAAATAAGTGGTTCCTACTTGTTGGATTTTAAGAAACTGTTTGGATTTTGAGGGCTTTACAGTAATGAATAGATTAATGCCATGATAGGTTCATAACATGATGGCATTGTCAGAAGACATTGAAAATAAACAAGTGAAAATTTGTTGGGTGTATGCATGTTTTCCAGCCTCTCCCAAGCCATCTCTGCTTCCTGCTGTCATAAAGGTAAAACTGTTACTCTGTCTTGCCCTCCTTCATGTCGGCATTCTGCCTTATCACAAGCAATGGCAAGAAAGCATGCCAATGAAGACTGATTGGGACCTCCAAAAGACTGAGCCAAAATAAATATTTTCTCCTTAAAAATCATTTTCTTTGTATGTTTGTTAACTGTGTAAAGACTGACTACTGCATATATCAACTTTCTGGTATTACTTCTCAACCTTCCCTTCTTAAACTTCAACCTCCTCTATCCTTTCTGGCCCGTATCATCCATCTTTATAACTTGGTTAAAACATGTCCCCCAGTTGACCAGTTTGTTTTTTCTTTCCCTCTCCTAACCAGTGTACACAATCTGAAATTATCCTATAACTGTGCCCTCAAAATTTGTTATTTACTGCATTTCATCAAGTAGCTAACTTGTATCTGAATCTCAACATAGTATTACATTCATAATTGTGTGGTTATTCTTGAAATCTTGTGGAGGCATGAAAAAGTAAAGAAAATATTCTCAAGGTTTCAGCACAGTAAAATTTTCATAACTCTGTTTGTATAGAAGTCACAAATAACAGTTTTTTTCAGAAATTTTAGTACATAACTCTTAGGGGAGGTGAACAAATAGTTTCTACAGTAGTACTGAATTCTAGGCCCAGAAATACCTAATGTGGGCTTAAGAACACTTAACGATTGCTACTATGTCTTATTTGCCTCCACCAGGGATACTATTTGAGAAAATATATATCTTACATATAAAATTTTGATGTGTATATTGATACTGACTGTTTTAAAAGAAATATAAGGGAAATAAATATATAATATTTATGGCTGAAAAAAATCAAATTCATAGACATATGTTTACAAGTTGTCAGAAAAGGTTTTGAAAGTTCTCAAACTTGATGTAAAATTTATTATAAAGAAAACTACATCTTTCTGTGGGTTTCGTCATCATTGTCTTGACTCTTTTGCTCATATCACTATTCCCTGTCTACCACTGGACCACAGAAACAGTTAACCTGAGCTGGTGGGAGCTCACTGACTCTGTACCTAACTACTGTGTGATGTGGGAGTCCCCTCTGTGTGCTGTGATGACGATTAATGAATTAAAAAAAACCTGTCGTGGCCTGTTGATAGAGCAGAACTTAGGTAGGTGGGGAAAACTAAATGGAATGCTGGGAGGAAGAAGGCAGAGTGAGAAAGATGCCAGAGTCAAAGATGAACCGAATTTTTGCTGTGACGATATACAGATTAATAGAATGGGTTAAATTAATATGAGTTAGCCAATAAGAAGCTAGAGCTAATGGGCCAAGCAGTGATTTAATTAATACAGTTTCTGTGTTATTATTTAGGGGCTAAGCTATCCAGACTACCTGAACAAACAAGTGACCCTTCCCCCAAGAAACTGACAAAGAAGCGGGCCTCCTCCAACAACTGGGGAACTTGCACAAAAACAAAGTAGGCTTGACAGTTATGTGACTTGGGCAATTTGTGGGGCCACTAGCAGTGGAACCAGTATTTATCCTTAGAGCATGAACTGGGTTTTTGGTGTCATTCCCTAGATAGAGGGGGGAGGGTAGTGATCCTGCCTCAAGTGATATAACAGACTTTGTTGATATCCATGGGAGACCTCACCCTTTCTGAGAAGGAGATGGGGGTAGGAGGGAAGGTGTGGGGGAGTAGGAGTAGGGAGGGAGATGGAACTGGGATTGCTATGTTAAACAAAAGGGATTGTTTAAAAAATAAATACAAAATAAACAATAAAATCATTCCTAATATATAAAAAAGAAAACTACATCTTAGATGATGAGATTATAAAGAGATAGTATATATAATCAATCTGTATGTTTCATGAAGACTAAATAAAGCCAACTTGGAAAAATAGTTTTAGTTTTATGCTAATATAAATAACTTGTCTTAGATTAATTAAGAGAACAAGTTCTAAATTAGAGCCAGAGGGGATGCAGGATACCAGGAGAACAAGGCTCTCTGAGGCAGCTCATACACCAGGCATATATGAGCTCACAGATACTAAAGCAGCCAGCACAGCACAGGGCCCTTATGGGACTGCGCCTCTGTGTTATGCATATAGCTTTTAGCTCATAATTTTTATATGAATCCTGACTATGAGAACGAGTGGGCCTCAGACTTTTGTACCTGCTCTTGTGACTCTTTTCCTCCTATTGAGTTGCCACGCCCAACTTCAACATGATAGCTTTTGCTTCATCTTATTATGCTTTATTTTGTTGTGTTTGGTTGTTATCTCTTAAAATTCTTTTCTAAGGAGAGACAGAAAGTGAGTGGTTTCAGAAGGGAAGGGAGGTGGGGAGGAACTGAGAGGAGTGTTGAGAGGTGAAACAATAATCAGGATGTATTATATAAGAAAATAACCCATTTCAAATTAAAGGAAAAATTAAAAGTTTGCTCTGGGAGCTCCTTCAGACAATAGCCTTTAAGAGACCACACCCACAGCAAAAGTTAATTCCTGAGAAAAGAGAATAAACAAATTTTCTCACAAGTCGGTTCTATAATTGAGAATTTGCAATCACTAAGTTTTAACATTTCCCGCAAATGCTTCCATCTAAAATTAAAGCAGTGCTGTTATGAGAGTTTGGAGCCAAGCAGAGACTGCTCTTTTACCTTTAGAGTCAAGCAAGGCATAACAAAAGTACAAAGACCTAAAATAAAAGATTCAAGGCTGGATGGAGTATTCTCCACGCCTACAGTCATTTTCCTGACACTTAATATGGAAGCACAAAGCAATTTTCAAGTAAGACAGGATCAAATTATAAAGTTAACTACATCTCAACCTGGTCAATGTGTGCTAGACATAATGGTGTCTATATTCAGAGATTATAAAAAATTGTTCCTCCATTGCCTTCATTTATTAAAAAGAGCAAGGAAATATGAATTTAATAAAACTTTCCTGAATATGCCATTCTCATTAAATCTATAGTCAATTTTATCAATGATGGTAGTGTTCCTCCTGGTAAGGGAACTATTCCACCTACCCATGTACTTCTATTTTTGAGGTAGAATCAGTCAATATCTTTTTTTTTATAGCTTTGTGGGATTTCAGTCAGTTCTTATTTATCTCATTTTTGCTAGAATTGGCTTATAACCTACACTGTATACATTCAAGGACCATAAAGGCACTTTGTAAATCAGATGCAAGTTTCTAAATGGTGAAGTAACCGATTTCTCTATCCTTTGAACACGATTATAAAAGATTTACGGTCCATTTGTTTCAGAAATCTAAAGTAATTCCAAAGCACCACAGCTCGATATTATTGTTTAATATTGTCAATGCATCCTGTGATTGTAAAGTACAAAGTTGTACCTAACATCGCCGACAGAAAAGCCACACAGGGAGCAAATTCATAGACTTCTTTTTTTGTCATAGTCTTTATAAGAAAAGAAAAGTACAAACCTCAAACAAACACATAGTTTTTTTAAGGAAACATTTTGTTAGACAAGCCACTGAAAAATAGTTCATGGACCAAATTAAATATATGCCCATCCTTTTCTGGAGAGATTATCAGTACTTGTTTCTGGTGTCTTGGAACTTTATCTTCCAACTGTCGTCCCAGGGACACAGGATCTTGGCACAATCTCCTCTGTACCCCACAGTGTTCACAATCTTCTACCTGCAACTGCAGAATAAGATGAAGAATGGGAGCTTTTGGGTCACAGGGCAGTTACTGTCACCAAACTTCCTCCCTTCCCCACAAGTATTCACGCCGCTCCCTCAGTCTGTCACTAAAATGACCAAAACAGCATGATTGACTCTGAGAATTGCCAATGATTATTAACGTAAAGAATTCACTGGTCCATAGTAACCTAATGGGATATGAATTTAGCCCTTACGAAAGAGAAATGTGTGAGCTTTAGGTTCTTGTGACTTTAGCCATTACCTGAATTATTTCTGAAATCCTTTAGGCAGCATCATAAACTGAAAAGTGTCGCCTAAGCAGTAACCTACCCATAAACAGTTAGATCAGTGGGATATGTGAGCAGACCCAAATGTTTGCATGAATTTATTTTTTAGATGGAATTAGTATTGCTTAACAGTGGGGGAAAGATGGTATTTGAAAAGTTGTATTGCAGGAATTTGTGTTTTCTGGGAAAAAATTAAATTATACTCCTAGCTTGTTTCCTATGCCAAAACAAATTTCCACACAAACCACAAATGTAAATATGTAAAAAAAATAAAAGCTATAAAACTACAAGACAAAATATAAGAGGAGAATTTTGCAAGAAAAAAATCATTTTGCAAGTAAACTAAAGCTTCTATGATTTAAGACGACATATTGATATATGCAATACTTAACTATGAGGCTATTCCTGACCCGAATAAAATCACAGATAAGAAGGAAAGATAAAAGCAGATTAAAGAGTAATAAATCTTTTCATAACATCAGGTTCATTTATCCAATCTGTAAAAATTGGACAGGTCTATATGTAAAAAATCTTATTTTTAAGTGGTCAAATATAAGGATATGAAAATGATTTTTAAAATCTGGAATATTTTCAATTTCAATGTTTAAAACTTACATTTGGACTTAAAGATTGACGTATTATCTTTTATCTTTTTGTAAGTTTTCATTAAATGGGACATTTGTTTTAACATTGTCCCTAAGTAAGGCTAACGGAACATCATAGAGGATGGTTTCAGAAAGATTGTAAGAGACAGAAGATGAGGAAGAGGGTGATGAAATACTGTCTTCCAGGGGTACATGGCAATTGGGCACAAACTCAGAGAATCTGTGGTTACTTGGGTAAGACCATAATAAGAAATAATACTAGTACCTACCTACAAACACATATAAGTTGATATATATATATATATATATATATATATACATACATACAGCTTAAATAAATTTTTTTCAGCTGAACTGACATTGCTTGACCCATGAGCTTTGGACAATCTAACAGACTTTTACACCAAATAGGAGAAACCCTCTTTTGAATTATGGGTCAAGGTTGTCCAAGACACTCCAAAAACTTTATTAGTTATTGTTATTGCTTCTAGTTGCTTCCCAGGGGTAGAAGGTAAGTCCCTATCAATGATGACATAATTCACTTTGGGTATAGGGACAAGAAACCTGACCTGAAAGCCTCCTACTTGATTACTAACTTTCATGGTACCAGAAAGAGTAATGCAAGCTTCCAAGGGGGGGAAGCAAATAAACTCCAAGCCACCTATAAAGACAATGAATAATGACAATCAGCATGACATGAAAGTCATAATGTTGCAGTAGTGTCTTGCATACCTTGACAGCTTTCTAAATTTATGTAAATATGGAAAATAAAGTGGTGGCAGAATCATAGCCAATTACTTAGGATTAGTGACATCATGGATCTTGGAGAAGAACTTACACCACTACTTTACTTACCCAGCATAAGCCATAAGGGCATTCTAAAAATTTGTCCTTATACCCACAGGCAAGTGTAGTCCCCATCCACTCCAGCAAGAAAACTATTTTTAAAGAGATAGGGACCATTACAGAAAACCACAACCAAACAAAATGCAAAGTTCTGGAACCCAGTCCCAAAGGAAACATCTACAACACCATTCTGCACCCATGACTAAGCAATCATTCCAGAAGAGGGATGGAAAGAATGTAAGCTCCAGAGAACCAGGAAATTAGCTGAAAAGTGTGTCTCCTAGAAATATTAGAAAATCCAGCAACAAATTTCCACTGAAACAGCTGCCTAAACATGACCTGAGCAAGGATAACACTAATAGACATGCTAACAAGGCAGGTTGAGAGTTCACAGTGTTTCAACTCTAGACAAAGAACTAAAGGAAAGTTAAGAATTTTGCAAGTAGAAGAAATACTCTACTCCAAGTAAGAGCACACTTATTGGCTATCCAATATCAAAAGGTCATTCCTGAAATCATTTACACATAAGTAACATCATATGGACTTTTTATGTTTTGTATGTATGTATATATATAATAGAATAATATAGAATATATATTCTATATATAATTAGAGATAATGACAGAGGCCATGAATATGAAAGAGAGCAAGAAGAGGATTCATGGGATGGTTTGGAGGAAGGAAATCATGTAATTACATTATAATTTTAGAAGGAAATTTTATAATTACATTATAATTTCAGAAAGTAATATTGAAAATTTCCATCATAAATGGAGAAAGGCTCCCAAGGCTCTACTTGAAAAGGAAGTTTGACTGAAATGATGGAGAGTCACTTTCCATAATGCCTAAACAACAGTAGATGAACTCATATCTAGTTAACTATGGGCAGCATTAATTGGGCTTTGTGAGTTTCTAAAAACATAAAGGGGGAAATAAAGTTATGAGAGAGAATGTTGTAAGACACCCAAAAAGAGCTGAAGAGGGATAGATGTAATCAAAATATATTTTATACATATATGAGACATTCAAAGAATAAATTTAAAATATTGTTTAAAATATTTTACTGATTTGTTCTTGGTTGAAAACCTCTGAACTAGTAACTGCTTGAAATGCATTAATCTCTGAAGTTATCAATGATCACCTAGTTTTTCTCCGCAGTGCAAACTTCTTTATCATGGCACCTACTATGCCATACTCCTTGGAAACTGAGATGTTGGAGAATATATTTATATTTAAATTGTACAAAAATCAAGTCCAGGCATTTTGAGTTGGGCTTCAGTTAGATTTTTAAGGAGTTCTTTCATTATCGACCTTATCCTCTCAATCCCTCCTTTCAGCTTAATTGTCTTATATAATTTCTACTTACTTTTTCCTCATATTTGTCCTGTTCCTTGCCCAATTTTACCAATTGGCTCAACTCTATAACCCACAGAAGGTGCAAATCTTCCTTTCTTTTTCTGCCTAACCTTCAAGACTCACATGCAAGCTTCCTAATGTTACCATGCTCATTTATGCCCTCTTTTGCTGTCAGAGAAGGTAAGTCTGTTATGCAGAAAGAAAAAAAGAAATTATTTCTACACTAAACCTAAGCGCCTTCCATTTTCCCCAGGTGACTTTCAGGGTGTTTCCCCTTTTGCCACTTACACATTCCTTATTTCCCACTGTCTCTCCAAATCCTGATGTTTTGACCAAGGAAACCTTTGCCAACCTTTCCTTTGGAGGCATTTGGCAATAATTTTGATCATGGCAATTGCTGAACTACTTGACCCTGGGAGCTGATCTTTTAAGCAAAAGTCATTGATCCTGACATACAGCTAAGTTGTATCAGATTTCAACCCACATGTACACAGAGCTAAGTAGTACCTGGCTTAGAATGTTAAAGAGAGAAATATTGTAGCCTATGTAAGGAAAATGTTCCCTTCTTCCTATTTCCTCCATCTCTTCCTCCATTTCTTTGTCTCTTCTTTTTTCTCTCTCTCTCTCTCTCTCTCTCTCTCTCTCTCTCTCTCACACACACACACACACACACACACAAGGAGAGAAAAACAGAGACAGACTCACAGACACACAGACAGAAATAGAGCTAAAATACTTTGTTCCCTTTTTGATTCAGTCTCACTACATATCCCAGCCTAGCCTCAAATGTATGGCTATCATCTACCTGCTGATCACTGGAGTGTACCACTACACTTACAATAGCTGCATTTAAACATTACTGTATTTTATGCCTCTCCCCTTTCCAGCTACTCTCACCATCTTCCTTTCTTCAGTGAAACAAATGTTTTTGGAGAAATAAAAGCCAAAATCTGTTGTTCTCTTCTGCTCTTACATCTCAAACACTTAAGGAAATCTAACTTCCAAGTCACATTATGGCACTGAAATAAAAGTCATAGATGAATCAATGCTGGCAAATACTGAGAGAAATCTCAGCCATATTTAAATTCCTTCTCCTTGGCATTAACTATTTATTCTGAACAACATCTCTCTTTCTATGTATTTCACATTTGACTTTCCTAGACTTTAGTGTAAGAACTATTCATTCTCCTTATTTAGAGCTTTTCATTATTTCTTTTTTTTAAATTTGTTTGTAACTGTGCAGCACAGATGTCATTATCTAGATAAGAGCAGTTCAAACCCATGATGCTCCTGCCTCAGTGTTTAAAGGGCTTACTTAGATGTTGGCTTTAGAGGTAATGATGAACTTTGTAATCTGTCTCTTATAGCATAACTTTCTCTTCTAAGAGTACATTCTCTTTTAGGACTATTGTGTGTACCACCTAGACACTGTTGATACATGAATATTACTTTAAACAAAATAGATTTGTAAGTCTCAAGAGAAATACAGTCACTAAACTGTCAGAACTATTGGTGTATACCCTGAAAGCACTTCAGATTTTATGTATGGAAAATAAACTTGGAGTTACCTGGGTGGAGTGGCACACACTCTAGAGACAGAGGCAGGCAGATGTTTGTGAGTTCTAGGCCAAGCTGGTCTACATAGTAGGTTCAAGACCAGTTAGAACTACATGATGAGACTGAATCAAAAAAAACAAATGAAGAAGGGAAAGAAGAAAGAAGGAAGAAGAAGAAGAAGAAGAAGAAGAAGAAGAAGAAGAAGAAGAAGAAGACAAAGAAATTTGCATTGTATACTTGGAAGCAATATCATCATAATGGCACCAATGGCACCCTTATATATGTTAAACATCACTACTCATCCATTTTCTCAAGCCAGAATCCACATCAATGGGACTCCCCATGGTTCTCTTCAAATATTAAATCTACGTCATTAACAAAATAGGCAACTACATCCAAATATGTCAGTGTTAATGCCATAGCCTAAGCTCCTATCCATTAGCTCACACTTGGAAAACTGTAGTAACTGCCTCTCTACCCTACCACTAGTCTCTCTCTATGGCTCCAAAGGTCACGTCAGAAGAGATTGACTTATTATAGTTTTCCTCTTTCTATAAACACTTCCCATTTCTTCATTGTCTAGGTTAGACTTAAAGTTGTTTTACAAAGTACAGAAAGTTTAAATCATGTGACAGTTTGCAAACTTTAAGCCTTATAGATTTCTTCTTTGCTTCCTCTACCTCATAATTCATTAATGTAGAATTGCTTAGACTATCTTCCCCAGCAAGTTGTTGCATATGTCCTTGGCTTTGATATACTTAACAGTGATGCTGAAATCAACTGGTATATTCTGTCTCTGAAACTTATAATTTCTTTTCAAGGTTCAGAGAGATGTCTCTCTGGAAAACATTTATTGGCATTTTTTTTAAAAGAATTGGCTGTTCTCTTTCTCATTTCTTTTTGGCTTTGTATTTTCTTTAAATGTTGCAGTCGTCACATGGTACAATTTTAAAATGCATGGATGCTTCTACTTTGTCATGACTTATTTAGTAAGGCTCTGCTCTGAGTGATCAATGATGCAGCCCCAGAATTTGGAAAAAGACTTGGGAATTGCTACTCAGTGAATGTTTGCAAGAAAACGGAAGAAGAGCTAAATAACTCATCCATGGTGCCTTTACTAACCAGCTACATAACACTGTGTGAAGCTTATAACTTAGCATGCAAAACATTTATAAAATATCTGTGTGGAGTGAGTAACATACAAAACTAATTTAACTGGTGGAACATCATATTAGTCATTTTCTGTTGCTAATAACACGACACTATTGACTTGGTAAGTTTTTATGAAAAGAAGTTTATTTTGGCTCATTCTTTAGAGGTCTAAGTTCCAAGGCCCACATCTGGTGATTGCTTTCTCCTGGCAGAGTCCTTGGGAGGTACAGGATATTACTTAGCAAGAGATAAAGAACTTACATGTGTTTCTTTTCTAATAATTCTTCCTCTTTGTATAAACCCACCAAGATTCAATCAAGGGAGCTCAACTCTAATACATTTATCTAATCCTAATTGGCTCCAAAAGGCCCATTTTTAAGCTAGAAATCTGTTTCCTCTGTCACTACTTACAATAAGAATTCACTTAGTAGAGCACAAAGAAGACCCATTCACATCCTATATTAACTGTGGCAAATATGGTTTCAGGTGTATATGAAGCTAACAATAAATCTGTATCATTTGATGTTATATAATTATATCATAAAAGTTGTAAAAATTTTTCAGCAATCTCAACCATTAAGTGTCCAATGGTAGTGTTTCATTAAACAGTTATTTTCCTCGGTTATTTTTAGAATTGAGATGTCTCAGTAGGTAAAGTTGCTTGTTACGAAGTCTGACAACATAATACTGATTTCCAGAAACACGTAGAGAAGACTCCTGGAAGTTGTCTTCTAATGAAAATATGCCCATGATATGCACCTGCCCACACACAGACATATGTGTTGATTATAGACAGACACACATGTAAATAATTTCTAAAAATTAAAAATAAAACACTCAAAAACCATTATTTGCATTCTCCCAGTAATGTGTCATAATTGTTCAAATAACAGGTTCCTATGGCAAATGACAGTTGTACAGAATGTGTGTGTGTGTGTGTGTGTGTGTGTGTGTGTATGCTTCCTATACACTAGAGATATAGAATACCCCATATAAAATCTCTAAGGATGTGTTGTGGCAAGGACATCTGTCTACATTTTCTAAATCTACTGTTCCAAACATCCATTTAAACATGGAACCTTTATTCATGTTTTTTCTATAGGAACATATATAACTAGCAATTTGAGAACCAAGCTTTGAGAAACATTACTCAGAGAGAAGAACAACTAACTTTCACTCCATTTTTAAGTTCATCACCTTGCTCTATTGGCTTAGGTATGGAAGGAGGCTAGAAATATCGGCCAAGGATTTGTGCATTCATTTAGAAAACCCAAGTAAATCCTGCTTCAAGACAGTGTCACCTTAGTTTGTTTCAAATTTACTATTATTTTGAAAACAATGGCAACTACTTTCTGATAGTATATTATAGACCTAATAGCATATTATATACAGTATATAGTATTTTTATTATTCTATGAATCTGGGTGCAAAGAGATATGATTATAAAAGATTTTTCCAAAGAATAAAAGACTTTAAAAGCTAAAAAAAATCCATTTCTGTAGAATTACTCAGCAAAACAAAAGGCTTTTCTATCCCATTAAAAACATATGCTACGACTCCAAAGAACCAGAACACAGAGATGGATTTACTGAGCACTTAACTTGGTTGCCTCATTTTGCCTAAGAAGAGCTAAAGACCAAAGAAGACAAGTGAGAAATCAGATATTACCAAAAAACGAGGCTGGAAACTTAAGGCTTGTGACTTCTAGTTTTCTGCTGCCCCCACTCTTAGTTTCTGGATAATGAAGTTGAGTCCAGGAACAGTCCTCAGGACTGGAATCAAATGGAGTGCATATGGTTATCAGCTGATACACATTCAGTCCCATGCTTCTTACAAGATGCTGCTGTATTCTTCACAGCTGACAGTCACATCAGCCTTTTAAGATGAACTGTGCTACTCTTGCTTCCTTCATCACTAAGATTTACAGGCTAGACCTAAGTAAAACGTTCCCTGTCCCTACAAGGAGCCGCTGCATTAACTTGTAGGACAACTTAGTTGTGTTTTCTGGATGTAAATCCGGGAATTGTTTACATAGATCAAAACTAAGGTAAATACACTTAGTGAGAAATAAGTGCTGAGAAAATTGTCACTGACCAGAGTCTATGCTCAGTTCTCTGCTGTTGCTGTTGCTAATGATAATGATGGTGATTCTATTGCTGCATAAAGTAGATGTAATTCTAACTTACTAATCAATATTGGAACAAGGATGGTGTCAAAGGACATGCTAACCTGTATGGTGAAAACCTCAAGTAGCCTCAATCCTAGACAAAGAACTACAGGCAACTAAGAAATGCTAAAACCAGAAGAAATAGTCTTCCCCAGGGAAGAGAGTAACACTTGATTATTAAGTTTCAAATAATCAGCCCTGAAGACATGTACATACCAATAACATTTTACAGAGCAAGCAGGTTTTATACATTCATTTATTTATGTAGCAACAATTAAAGAAATGGGGGGCATGAAGTTAAAAGTGAATGGAGGTGTAGATGGGAGAGTTTGCCGGGAGGAAGCAAAAGGGTGGGTGATGTAATTATAATATGATATCAAAGAATTAAAACTGTCATTAAAAAGTGCTCATTTTCAGGAATGCTAAGTGTTCAGCTTGAATTAGTTCTGGCAAACAGTCTTGTGTATGGGGAATGTTCCTGAAAGCGCTCTTCCAGAGACAAAAGAAAACAAGGTTGAATGTAAAGTGGACGCGCTCTCCAAACAACTCCTTTCAGCTGGAACTGAAGCCCTGCAAGTGACCAGGGCTTCATGGCAGATTAGAGAGGGTTCTCCTGCGAACATCACTCCCAGATCAGGGAAAACCGGGTCACTACTGTGTAAACACTTTGCGCTGCTTTGTAAACACACGAAAATATCAAGTGAGTTCCGTGTAAACAGACCGAAGGCAAAAAGAAACCAGCAGCATCACTCTCAGAAGGGACTCTGGGGATAAGCGGAGACACATCATTAACAGGGCTAGTCTCGCATCAGACTGTGCTCACTTAAGCTGCTACTCTTGTCTAAAGATTGACTCGTTTGCTGAGAAGCTAATGATGCTGTAACCAGAAACTCTAGATGGCCTTTCACAGGCTCTAGGAACTAATCTGTGGTTTCTACCTCTGCTCGCATCATTTCAGAAATATGAATGCCGTAATTCAAAAGAGGAGCTGAACATAACAGACATGAAGATAACAAATGTCAAAGAGTTCAAGAGACATTTGGAATAATGGTCATGGTGACAGAAATCAAAGTCTGAGCATGAGTTAACACCTTATATTGAGATCAAGCAACATGATTTACAATGTATCTGCTATGTTTGTCTAAGTATACAGTTCTCCCCCACTCTGTCCCATTCTCCCTACATTCTTTCCAGAATTGGTTCTCCTTTTGGCCTTCATACTAGAAGGAAAAGAAAAGAGACAATGAGTAGAGAAGGTTCACTCCTTCAAATCTCTATAACATTCAAGGAAACAGGTGCGCTAGACTTTCTTTTGTTTTGGCTATGAGACGCTTGCTCAACTATGCTACTCTTATTGGATATTTACTATTTCCTCTTACAGCTTGTTCCTCTACTGTGCACATAGCCGTGAGATTGCCCCAGCTCTCACACAGTGCATTTTATATTCTCCAAATAGATTATAATTCAAGGTATGTGTAGCTATTTTATTTAGACTCCCTTATTTAATGGAAAGTAGTAGAAAGAAGAAGGTTAAATAATATAATATTTTATAGCATTCAGATGTACCTACCAAATATGATCAAAGTGAAGAAAGTTTTGCATGATTGTAGATCCAGGGATTTGTGTCCTGTCTCAAGGTCTCCTGGCTCCATGCTCAGCTGCAGCACTGGTGACAGAGAGCTGTTTTCATCTTTTATAGACATGACTCAACAGTTCCTTTTTTGTTATCGTTGTTCTGTTTTATTTTTTTTCCTTTTTTTAAAAAAAAGAAAATAAACTCTCCTGTTCCCACTCCTTCTCCTCCTCCAGTTTTCCCCCACCCCCTGCCATTCACTCCTCAGAGAGGCTAAGGCACACTGCTTTTGGGGAAGGTTCAAGGCCCTCCCTACTATATCTAGGCTGAGCAAGGTATCCATCCAAAGAAAATGGGTTCCCAAAAAGCCAGTATAAGCAGGAGAAATAAATCCTGGTACTGCTGCCAGTGGCACCGCAGTCTTCCCCAGTCATTCAACTGTCACCCACATTCAGAGGATCTAGTTTGGTCCTATGCTGGTTCCTAAGCTAAAATTATATAATGGGAAAAAAAGCATCTTCAAAAAAATTGATGGCATAACTGGATGTCAGCATGTAGAAGACTCAACAATTCTTAAACCTAGCACTTGATGCTACTTTTCCATCTTATTTTATAGCATCTTTTCTACCCAGGTGACATAGCAAATGTACACGCCAGTTTGCATTCCTAAAATCTTAACTCAAAAAGTAGTGAAACACTAATTCCTACGAGCCACTACTTGCCAATGTAGATGTTCTCAAGTCTTTGAAAACTGATAGAAAGCAAAAAAATAAAAATTGTCAAAAGTTGTGGACAAATCAAACATTTGTTATGTGGTCATGCAGACAGTCAGTTTGATAACACCTCTTATGTTGGCATTATCTCCTTCCTGGTTTCATTTCAACCAAACCTTCTGCTTTGTAGGAACATATCACCCACACGCATGCACCCACACACATACACACACATTTGCATGCATGCATGGACACTGTGTTCTTCTTTGAAAGACTATAAAACAACTTGAAACAGGCTTCAATGCTTGAGTTATTTTATCAATTAAAAAAATATTTCCTTCAGTGATTGTTTTAGGAGTTAGTGAAGATAGCATATAAAGAAAATCACTATCTTTTTTTACATGTTCACATGTAATGACAATTTTTAGATGAAGATGTATTTGAATATTGAAAGGAGTGAAGAGAAAGGTAACAAGAAACAAAGAGTATGAGAATCCAGAAACAGTTTTATAAAAACTGCATTATGTAACCATAAATAATTGTTTTATGACTTATAATTTAACTATAATTGTAATCAATTCTTTTCATTTAGCTATTCATTTTTTCCAGTTCCTGTCATTCCTAGCCAATGGTGGTAAATAGAACAGTTCATAGCAATCGAAAGGGATGAGATTTAATTAATCTGTGATTAGATACATATTGAGGCAAATGGCAGGAAGGAGATGATGCTTAAGGCAAGCACTAATGAAAAATCATGACTTTACTCTGTGTTTTTGAATGCATAAGGGCAAAACACAGTACACATCATTAAAATCCAATACTTTTAATGAAACCATTGAATATCTCCTTTACTGTCTTAGAAGACATTGCTTGCATTGACACTATTGTCTTCCAAATGTCATTCTAGATATCTGTCCCTTCTGCTTTCTATGATCATGACACATACATAAGAAAGAACACACAGACACACATACATTCACACCGACAGCATTTAAATTTAAAATGCTACTAGGATTTTCCTTGCTCATTTTTTTCCTGGTGAAATATATTTTAATTTCTTGAAATGCAGATAAAACTGATGATACTCGTGTCTGTGAAAGACACAACAATTGGCTTGGCACCCACAAGGAGATTAACCAACATCCATAAATTTCAGTGATTTATAGGGATAATATATTCATGTATTACTCAAAAACCTTAAAAGGAAGTTTAGAAAAGTTCTAATGTCTTTGTTTATATTAAAAGGCCAAAGAACTACATAAGAGCATGTCATTTCTCTGCTTATGCACACCATAGTTCAGTTGCTGTGCTTTGACCTTAACTGTGCCAGTTTTGTACACTTCTTTTGTGCCCAACATCTAAATTATGTTCTTGATATTAACTATACTCTGATTTTTGATGTCATGCATTAACCACCCAATCACCATCGCCTCTGTTCCTCCGTACGTACTACTTGTCTGCAGCTTCAATATCTGCTCCTCAGTACCCACATACCAACTTCCGGATTGCTCATCTATAGACACCATTTCTCACCCTCCCTTTCCCTTTGTTTCCTGTTCACTTATCTTGTTTGAAATGGTCACAGGTAATAAAGCAGGGGAAACTGAGGAGTTTCCAATCGCTACTTCCTACCAGAGCATTCATTGCTAGCATTTGCTATTGCTGGAGGGACTGGCTTACAGACACGAGCAAATTCCTTTTTAGGTCACTCTTTCCTTTTAGTTCTTGGCATCTTTTTTCCTCATGTTCTCTTCTAGCCTTCGTAAATCTTCTGTATTCAATTCCTTTCTCATTGAATTATTTAGCATGGTTTTATTTTCCTAAGTGCACACTGACTGAAACATTAGTTTTCACTATAACAATGTCCAAGGTCACTCTTGGTACAGAGGTAGTCACTCAAAATATTTATGTTTTCCCATTATAAAGCCTTCCCTTAGTTAAGGAGCTAGGCACTCTCAATTCAGTATGTCGTATTCATAATTCATGAAGTTTATTTGAACATAGAAGACTTTTATCTGGGACTTACAATTGAAAACTCACAACTGACATGGTCAGCATGTCCATATTAAAGAAAAACATCAAGATATCTGGTAGATGTTTACGTTCATAATCACGATATTTTACATCCGGAATTCAAAGCATCTAAGCATTTGAAAGCATATAGATGACTGACTGCAAGCTTTCAGGTAGCTTGACATTTTGTAGTCACAGCTGTGGAAGCCATTCAGACGATGGCAATCATTTTTAACACCCATGCTTTTAGCACATGAAAGCAAAGTGCCTAAAATGCAGCATCATATTCTTATCATATAGATCTCCATGGCACTCATCCCACTCTCAAGCTTTTAAGGAGGACATTGATGAGTCCTCTGTGGCTTCAGAGACAAGAGGTCAGCGGTGAGTGCTGTCAGAATCACATGGTACCCAGTGTAGACAAATAAAGGATGATCTGGACACATGCATTAATATGCCACAGTTAATATTTTTGCACGGTCTATTTTCTCAGCAGTATTTTGCTTTCTAGGGACCAAAATATGCATTTTGCTTCACAAGTGCGACATGATTGATGCTTTACTAAGAGAGTCTTTTCATAACAGAACAGATGTCTACTGACAAGAAAGTATTGGTACAAGCAAACTATATTATTGTAATAATGCTAAGGCTCAGGCGTAAGCAAAAGATTCTAAGAGAGTAGAGGGGAGAATGGTGGGAAAAACAAGACAGACGTTAAGCATAAGAATAAGACAGATAATGATTTGAATCTACATCTTTAACTTACTTATTGACTCACTCTGTGATGTATGAAGACAGCACAGAGGTCTCAGAAGGTAAATATGAAAGCCCCAGGAGCCAATCTGCAAAATTATCTCTTCAACATGTTAGTTGAAGATTTGAAAATGTTAGTTTTGAACATAATTCTTTGTTGATTCTTTGGAAATTTCACATCATGCACGCCAGTCCCACTTACCTCCCAGTCTCTCCATATCTGCCCTCACTCCTGCAGTATACCCCCAAATTAATTAAAAGCAAAGCAGCCAAAAAACCCCACCTTGCTCCTCCATTTCCCCAACACTCCTTTATTCATCTTAGTGGCATCGTGAAGTGCGGTGTGTCATGCACTATACCCCTTTTTTTGTCCATCCAGCCCCACCCGCAAAATGTTTATTGCAATGAGTCATTGGTCTGGCTCAAGGCCTCTGGTTTCTGGTACACCATCATCACTGCCCTGGACCCACATCAAAACTTCTTGAATACCCTGTTGTGGCCCCGAGTCATGGGATTATGTATTTATTGTTCTGCAGGACCACTGCCATCACACATGCCAGAAGGTCAAAAATGAGGCAGCTGTTAGAGTGGGTCAACCCAAGGCCCAGGATGTGGGGTCTGGGTGATAACTGATCTGGCCAGCCTGGCTGTTAGAATACCAAAATGTCATTATGAAAAATAAATGTGGTATTTCCATTATTCTGTCACGGTAAGTTCCCAGGAAGAAAAAATTTATGATACAATAAATTACTTCAAATTTTGTTCTGTTATCAGACTTCTGTTTTCATTACGATTTATTTGCATACTATATCAGCTAGGTATAAATAAGAAGGAGTATATTTCACAGATTCCATTTCTCTGTTTTATATAAGAGACACAATCATGTAATAGATACCCTGGTCCTCCAGCTCTTACATTCTTTCCATTCTACTCGTCCATGATGTTCCCCAAGTTGTAGGTATAGAATTGTGTTGCAGATATATGAAATGGTCTCGGGCATGCCACCATCAACTGTATTTTGACTAGTTGGAGATTTCTGTAATGGTCTCCATCATATGCAAAAAGAAACTTCCTTGATGATTGGTAGGAACTTCACATGGTTACCTAAACAAACCCAGTATATGTACACCAGCTAACGTGCCAATGAGGATAGGGGAATTCTATCAGGCTGGACCCTTAGATGAAGATATACAAGTAATTACTGGCTTCTGAGGGAAGGAGATTCAGTCTTCTATAGAGAGAGACTCAGTGAAAAGTTATCAAATCCAAGTGATCAATTGTAAAAGCACATATGAGCAACAATCTGTGATAAACTCAACATGTTTTGCACATGTGTGCATATATGCATATACAATAATAATTTGAAAAGGGTCATTAATTTGAGAGGTAAATAGAGAAAACACCAGGAGGGTTGGAGGAGAAATGGAGAAGTATAAATGATGTGAATACAGTTTTCATGAATGACATTCTCAAAAATAAATTACAAAAGAAGGCTGGTATTAAAACTGTCTTACTGGAGAAACATGGAAAAAAAGGATACAG